ATCTGCTGTAGGTCAACGACTGCCTTGAGAGCCTTATTGGCGTCGCCGATGAAGAACCGGCCTACTTCCGGCCCTACCTCGCTGAGCTTTGCAGTAGGCGGCATTCGCGGTACCGTCTGGTTCATCAGGTTAGTTGTCAGGAACTGGCTTTGGTATTGCCCAAGCTAAGGACGCTATTGAGGACGGGCCGAGGCAGTTGGCCTTCGAGATGATCACATCGTTGGCCGAGAAGAAGGCCAAGATGTGCATGAAGGTAGTTCCCCTTTCTCCATGTTCTTCGAATCAGTTGTGAAACTCAGAATCGACTCTAGCATTGTATCATCCGTGTGAAAAGCGACTCTAGAATCTAAGTTTCGAAATTGGTCTACTGAACGACCCTTTATAGTGGCCACCTCCTTGTTGTAGGTCCCTAACTTCATCACTGATGCCGTGAAGACCTGCCTTATTTTCATGCTTGAGATAGATGGTGATGGTGACGACACAGAGGCTTGGTGCAAGAGGTGCCTTAACGAGTATCCTTCATGGTGCGCTCAGGAGTGCTCAGGTTTGCCGACCAGGACGATGATGAGGATGTCACTAATTACGAGGTTGGCGAGGAGAACATAGACCGTTTTGCCCAGGTAGGCGCGGGGTACTGGTGGTGACACTGTTGGTGACACGATGAGCAGGCCCTTGGTGCTGAGAAGACCTTGCCGGTTGTGTTCCAAGCTGTGGCTGAGTTCGTCAGACTTGGAACGTGGAAACACAAGGTGGCTGCTATCATGACGCTTAGTCAAGTGGCTGAGGTCGTTGAGGAGGAAACTCAGATGGACGAGATCGTCAAGCTGTTGCTACGTAGGAGTATTCACAATTACTGTAGTCTGTCAATACTCCCTTTAGAACACATGAACGACCCGCATCCTCGCGTGCGGTATGCGGCCCTACATGCTATGGGCCAGACGGCTACTGACTGCACTCCGTATGTGCAGGAGGCTTGGGCTCAGGAGGTAGTGGAAAATTACAGGATAGGAAAAAGGCTTGAGGTGTTAGGTTTTGACTGCCTTAGAGACGGCGATGGACGACCCCATTCCTCGGGTGGCCTCCCATGCTTGTGCGGCCTTCGTGAACTACGCTGAGGATGTACTCGGTCGTTGTGTATAGTGCTATGACTATGTTGGTGTGATCAGGTGGAGCAGGAGGCCCTCATACCGCACGTTAAGATCCTTATGGAAAAGCTCTACCGCAAGCTGCAGATGGATCAACCGAGACAGGTAGTATGAAAAATCAACGGAAATTTTCTCAAAATTTTCCCATTGTCATCAACTATGTGTATAATTTGCCAGTTGGCTCGTATGCATTTTATTAGTATTCAGATCCGCGAACAAGCCATCACTGCTATCGCGGTCATCGCTGGTGTATCGGAGTCGCACTTTGTTGACTACTACTCCCATATAATGCCTCTTCTGAAGGTAAGGCTGCTTGTGGTGGCTCTATGTTTTGAGAATCATTTTGAAATTGCATTTAATTGGTACTTATAGTTGTGAGGTTTATAAAATATTTCATAGTTTATCATTGGAGTTTCACAACCCGTTTTACGTGAAGTGGTGTGATACTCCATGTGAAAAACGCGATATGAAGTGAATTGAAAAGACTTGGAGAATTACACTAGATGAACCACTATTCCACGTAGAAGACAACACGGCTTTTATGCGGTTTTCTCGAAGTGAAATATGTTTTACACTGGTGTTTTTCATATCACGGCTGAAACTCCATTAATTGAATTTAGAAGATTGTTAGTGTTATTAGAATTTATTCATGTTACTCTTTTTGCTACTCGAAATCTTTTTCGTTCAGCAAACGGTCCAACAGGCTTCGGCTAAGGAAGAGAGGACCCTTCGAGGGAAGGCGTTTGAGTGTCTGTCTCTGCTGGGGTTGGCAGTTGGGAAGGAGGTCTTTGCTAATGATGCGGTCGAGGCTATGCAAGCGATAGTGTCAATGTTGAGGGAACCGGAAAAGCACTTCGAAGATGATGACCCACTTAAGGGGTTTGTACTGGAGAGTTTACAAAGAATTTCGAAGGTAGGGTGAAGAGGACTTTCGGTCTTGTGATGCAGTGTTGTGATATTTTTTCGCTTTCCTCAAGGGCTATGGAATTCGGATAAAGTGTAAGGAGAATTTTCGCAAATTTTCTCAGAATTTCCATATTGTCACCAACACATGTAGTTGACCATGTACATATTTTTCCACACTGTCATGATTGTACTCGTTCAGACCTTGGGCCCCGATTTCGGCCAGTTTCTGCCGACTTTGTTGCCGCTGATTCTCAACCAGTTCAACTTGATGGCTGCTGAGGTGAGGACCGACCACATTGATGTAGTGGTTGTCGTAGGCTTGCTATTGCAGGTTGACGATGCTAGTGAGGAGCAAGATATGACTATGATAATGTTGGCTGAGGTAGTGCAACGTTGTGTGATTCATACCACACCATGGGCACTTCGTGTAGGGCAAGTGTGTGGGCCTGAAGACCAGCGCTATCGAGGACTTGGCATCAGCCTTGCAGACTGTCAACTGTTTTATTGAGAACTGTGGACCGGCGGTTTATAACCCGTACGTATTTCCATAGAGTATTAAGACGTTATTTTTCGCTGGTGTTGAAGGTACGTGAAGGATACGGCATTGAAACTGCGTCCTCTGTTGGACTTCCAGTTTGATGATGAGGTGAAGTCTTTGGCTGTGAATGTGTGGTCTGAGTTGATCTCATGCGCGAGACGGGCTAATGATACTGCTACTGTCAAGGTATGATGATGCAGTGTTGGGAGTTTCCTGACTGAGTATAGAAGTGTGAAAAATCAATGAGAATTTCGCATTGTCGCACACTTCCGTGTTATGTTTAGGATCTGTTGAACTCTTTCATTGAGTCTATGCTGAAAGCCATGGCTCAGGAGGACGAGCTGGAGGTAGGATACTGCTTTGAGTGGCTGATCGGGGTGCAGTGTGGGGAATGTTTGATTTCCTCAACTGAGCTCGTAAGTTTTCTCACTACATTATGGAAATCCACGCACGATTTCGGGTAGAAGTATACAAAAATCGATGGCGATACCCCAAAATTTCCACGGTGTTATCAACACATGTAGTTGACTATGTGCATATATCCGCACACTGTTGAAGTGAAGGTTCTTCATTGTAGGTTCTTGAGGCTGAGGCTCGAGGTGTCGCTAGTTGTGTGAAAAACGCTGGCCCTGGTACTCTATCGGAACAAGCTGTAGGCACTTGAATGTTCATATGCGGAGTGTAGATGAATTGATGCAGGTCTCGCGTATAGTAGAGGTTTGCTTTACTCTTCTTAAGGAGTCCTTCAACCGCCGTGCTGATGCTACAGCTGAGGAGGAGAGTGGCGAATGTGATGAGGACGAGGTGTGGTATAGACTTGTCAAAATATATGGGATGTTGGTCTGTTCAGGTCGACGAGATCCGCAATATTAAGGAGATGGATGAGTGTGTGCGTATTGCCATCACGGAGATTGGCGGTGCTCTTATGAGGGAGCACAAGCAATTGTTTGTCTCAACTGGTGGTCTACAGAAGTCGATTGAATTGGTGCAAAAGTTGATCGATACGCGATGCATGGCTCAGGATAGGTAGGATTTATTCGGTAGTGTCCATACCACACTTCTTTCATTTCGCAAGGTGTTTAGCCCTCTACATTGCATGTGACTTCTTGGAGTGCCTTGGACCTGATTCAGTCCAGGCTTGGAGTATCTTCATGGAGCCGATGGTCGCGGCCATTACTGACAACAACCCCTCAGTTCGACAGGCGGCCGCCTATGGTGCTAATGTGGCGTGCAACATACCCCAATTTGGTGACATCTCTGGAACGGCCGCGGCCCAGTTGTACAGGGCCATGCAGAGAGCAGATGCTCGTAGTAAGGATAACATTGCTGCAAATGAGAACGCAGTAGCAGCGTTGGGAAACGTGTGTGAGAAATTCGAGCAACGGTTGGGAAATGACGCTGGAAATTATTGGGCTGCCTGGATCAAGAACTTACCTCTGAAGCAGGATGAGGACGAGGGAAAGAAAACGCATGCGCAGTTGGTCCGCCTTGTGAAGGAACAACGGCCTGGGGTGGGCTCATTGATCTGGTTGGTGGTGGCTTTTTTATGAGTATTTTCAGGTCCTCGGAGCGAATAACGGCAACTTGGGCAGTATAGTACACGTATTAGCACTAGTGTATAAGAAGGACTACAGCAATGCTTTGATCGATAGGGCTATCTGTGAGATCCTTGCGGGCTTGGGCGAGGCTACTATAGGAGGCCTTCAAGGGTCCTTGAATGATAAGTCCAAGAAGGGCGTTATGAGGATCCTTAATGATGCTAAGAGCATGTAACTGCGGCGGTTGGAAAGTTGACTGTATTGTCGTTGTGGAAAGGAAGTAGTTTATATCGAACGGATGACGATGATGTCAATAGTTACTACTGTGTTCTTAACCGTTTCCTTGTCTCCTTATCGTCCCGAACAGCTTCTTAGTCATTGTGATCAATAACAGAAGGAGTATTTACTATTGGCTACTACAAACTGACGTACTCTCGTTATTCAATTGTTGTGTTGCCAACAGTGTACAACTGATGTTACTACTAGTAACGGTGGATTCAGTCAAGGATAATCGCACAGTGATAGTATGGGCGACGATATGGCAGGGTTGATGAACTAGTTTGAAATTAATCAGGACATAATGCTATCGAAATGAATTGTGACCTTGGGTGTTGGTATTGGGAGAGGGAGACTGAGCGTAAATGTGGCAATCCGGACGAAGGAACAAACCAGAACCAAACTGGTCAAGTTCTGTGGTTAACGACAGGTGGAATTTATGACAGATCCCTTTAAATGTGTTAACTACTGAGAGTCATCGTAGTAATAACTCTGGCAGTTTCCTGCCATCCTGAACAGAATACTCAACAAGGCCGCTTCGCGCCGCTGTTGTCAGCGGAGGAACTGATTTGCTACATCGAATCTCCGCAAGGCTTCGGTCACTAACGTTCTTGGTTATAGTGCAAATCAGTGCGAGTGTTGGTGACGCCAATTCAGGGCCGGTTGTCTGGACTAGGAATTAACAGCTTAGATTTAGATTGATTACAGAATCATATTCCCATTGCTTGTTGCCGTGTGGCCTCAAGTTTAAACATAAGTCGTTTCTGACTGGGGTATTTCTCCTCCAAAACCCCTTGGAGATGCACTCACAAGTCTCTGTGGATTTCCACATTACTTATCTCACATCGAAAATCGTACTAATTAGCGCGACAGAAAATACACGTGCTACTTGTTGATTACCACTGTTCTGAGTTAAAAACTCCTCTCTTGCCAAGACTAGTTTAACACAACAGTTACGGGTGCATAAATGAACATCGTTTTGTTGTTTAATGTACGCAATAGTCAACTTCGCTATCCTCTTCCTCCTCAAGGGCCACATGGTCGATCACGAGCTTGGCGACCATTTTAGCATTCGCCCATCGGCGAAACCTTCTAGCGAGGCGATCCATACCGCATAATATCATAAAAGTGATAATGGTGCCAACCAGAGATGCAATTAATCTGATAGGAAGACGATTCGCTCGAAGAATGGTATGAGAACTCACTGAGTTGGTGAGAAGAACTCTTCCACAGCAGCCATAAACCCAGTAGGGTCGCTGCTGATATCACCACTAGGTAGAGTAGCGTTGGAGTCCATATCAGAGTACACCATATCACCAGGAGCGTCCATGGTAGCGTTCAACCTGAACTAGTTAATAAGCCAGGCAAGTACAACTCCCGCTTACATTTCGTCCAAGTGCTGTAACGCCCCAGGGACGGCTGGGTAAGTGTTGAAGGTTAACTGAAAGAGAGATAGTCGAACCAGCGGTGAATAGTATGTTCAGCTTACCTCAGATAGAGGAGTAGGGACGGCAATAATGCCGAGTAGTAGTAAGATACGAGAAGCTTTTAGTGCAAAGCTCATTGCGGTTGAGTGATCGATACGATCAAGTAGCTTGGTTAGGCCGAAACCGTGCGAGCTTGAGGGATTTCGCAGCCGTTTCAAAATTACCATTTTAGGGCGAGCTCGGTTTAAGATGCGCGATCTTAAAAGTAGCGCACGCCCCATCGTTCGACTCGCACGCATTTTTCGGCATTTTCTCAGCGCGCGCAACCAAATTTCTCACCGCGCCACAAAATTTCTCACCGCGCCACCGAATTTCTCGCGCGCGCAACCATTTTACTCGTCGGGCCACTTTTTTGTGGACCACTATTCTGAATTTCATAAGACGTCGAGGGCATTGAAAAAGCAGTAGCGACTAAAGCCAAACACTATTTATTGCCATGTGAGACGAATATGAAGCAGGAAGCGGATTGTAGTAGCACCTGCCACTCTATAGTAATCTACCGTATAGAGTAGTATACCGATACACTCACCAACACTTTACTCATTAGCTTTCTGTATGTTATCTGTTAACTATCTGTATCAGTGTGAAAATTATATCACTTTCAGGGAAATACAATATTGTAGATGATACGGTGATATCCCTATTACTAACCCAGTACATGTAATGAGGATTATGTCTAAATGAATCGCCCCGGGGTATCCGGCACCTAGCACCCCGCCTATTCGGAGTCCGCAAGACTCGTGTGAGTCCCGAATACAACCTCTCGGGATCCTTAGTCAACCCCAACCCAGTATCACCCCGGGGTATCCGGCACCTAGCACCCCGCCTATTCGGAGTCCGCAAGACTCGTGTGAGTCCCGAATACAACCTCTCGGGATCCTTAGTCAACCCCAACCCAGTATCACCCCGGGGTATCCGGCACCTAGCATCCCGCCTATTCGGAGTCCGCAAGACTCGTGTGAGTCCCGAATACAACCTCTCGGGATCCTTTGTCAACCCCAACCCAGAATCACCCCGGGGTATCCGGCACCTAGCACCCCGCCTATTCGGAGTCCGCAAGACTCGTGTGAGTCCCGAATACAACCTCTCGGGATCCTTAGTCAACCCCAACCCAGTATCACCCCGGGGTATCCGGCACCTAGCACCCCGCCTATTCGGAGTCCGCAAGACTCGTGTGAGTCCCGAATACAACCTCTCGGGATCCTTAGCCAACCCCAACCCAGTATCACCCCGGGGTATCCGGCACCTAGCACCGCGCCTATTCGGAGTCCGCAAGACTCGTGTGAGTCCCGAATACA